TGCTCTTATCTCCACATTTTGCACAAATCAAAGGTTCACTTTGCAGACTGTGACTTATGCAAATGTCAGTAACTTCCAAAGAATTTTCACTATATTGGCTTAAAAGGACCATGGCCAAGATCATATTCAGCACAAAACTTACCAGTGACTGTCAAAGAATAGTTAAGGAACTATTGGAAATCCTGGTTGGGAATACACACATATATGCTAGAAATACTTTATAACAAAGAATCCAAAATAATGTATAACAAGCATTTTTTGATATTACAAAAAAATACAATATGCCCAAATATAATGAAGTAGATGGGAACAATTAGGAAAAAAGTTTCACAAACACGTAGTAATACACAAACTAGTTGACACGCTGCAGTAATTAGTTGTGAAGTCAGTTTACTATTCAAGACTGTGGTGTCAACATGTAGAAAGACTTAGAAAAAAATGTTTTGTGCTGAGATGGTAATCTCAGCCATTCATTGCACACAGTGGGTAATTTAGAAGCAAAAATGAACAGACAGTTGTAATTTGACTAAAGTCTTAAGAACCAGTTACACCAGATATAAGAATATCCATCATAACATATGGAATAAAGTATGTTATTGAATTTATATTAATATGTTTTAAATTTATGATTCAGGAGGCAGATATGCTGTATGCTGCGCAGTTATGCTGACTTTTTTTTTTTTTTTTTTTTTTTTTTCTCTCTCTCTCTCTCTCTCTCTCTCTCCCCTTCATGAGAGCCAAAGTTAATCTAAAGCATGTTCAGAATTACTGTTTTTGACAACTTTATTGCACTGTTAGGTAAACATCTTCAAAGTTTTATTGAAAGCTATTATACTTAGTTTCATTCATGAACAGGACCAGTATGGAGATATTGATAGTGGAAAATGTGTAGTCTACTTTAGATGCCATAGAATGGGCATTAAAGAAATGGGAATATTATTTCTCATATATGTACTCTTATGGGGTGTGAAGGAAGTAAATCACCACTTTCAATAGTTCTTCGAAATTGGCCAACATGTATCATGAACGACTGAAATTTAATATTTATGGTAGAATAATGATGTAAACAGTTGTGGAAGTATTTTGACTTATGCTTTTAGTGGGAAAGAAATTGTATATTTCCATTATGTTTGTTCTTCAAAAGTGTCTAATGCATACTATAATGTAACAATAAACTACTGAAGTCGCTAAACAAATAATCTCAAATTCATGAATCATCTTATTAGCCTTTAACCGTATAGTATAGACTTAGAGGAGTCCAGTCCACTGCTCACAGATCAAATACATTTGGTAACAGATGAAGGACAATACTGCATGAACATTTATTTGGCACCAGAAAGTAAAGCTAAATACAAGGTTTATTTGCACATAGTTTTTAATATTACACTAAAATACTACATAGTTCCAGAATTTGAAAAGGAGGAGAAATTTCAAGTAAAGCAAAGATGTTAAGAGAAGCTTCAGGAAGTGTGTACCTCATTTATATTTAAAGTTTTTCTCTGGCTTGAATATGCCTTTGGGAGGAAGAGGAACTAAACATGATAACAACTGTAGTGATAGTCTCTAGGTAAAAGCAGTTACTTACACAGAAAATGTGATGGCTACACTCAAAGAGAAAATAAAATCATAGCTTATTTTTATGATTTTACAGACGACAAGAATCTGCCAGAAGCGCAATCAGCTCAACACACTGATGGTATTTTGCACAGACTTCCAATCACAGACACTGAAATTTGTCTTTACACATATGGCACAAGTCTCTGTTTCAGCCAACACCAGTTTACAGATTCTCTTTTGCTCCCTGTTGGCACATAAATGTGTGAATTTGGTTATATGTGGCCCTTCAATAAGAAGGGTCGGCAGCTGTATTCATGGTTGCTTTGAGAGGTTAAAAGGTTAGATTAGGGTTATGTAAGGTTTAATAGACTTAACATAGCCTAAACCTTGCTCAGAATGGTTTCAGAACGGTCATGAATACTAGCCCAAGGACTGTACAGTAATCTGTGTAATGTATATGTTGGGATTGTTATTATTGTTGTTAGTGATACTTTTATTTCTTTAATTCTAATAGTAATACTATTATCATTATTGGTTGATATTATTATTTCTTTTGTAATATTTATTGATAATCATCTTTTTTATAATTTTTATTATTTTATAATCATTATTATTATTGTAATTTTTATATTATTATTATTTGTTATATGATAATGTGCATTATAGATTTTATTGTTATTAATCACTGCACTTTATATCTTCTGTCTCAGCTATTAACAAGTTTCTGTAATATAGTTCAACTAGCTTCTGTTCTGAATATATTATAAGTAAGGGTGTAGGTGTGGATAATCTTCAAATTTTAGCTAATTCCAATAATCCTCTATATCAATTTACAATAATATTGTTGGATATGGAGCCACAATAAGTATAGCAGTTGAAAAGAAAAACAGTAATATATTTTATATATTAAGTAGTTTCTTGCTATAGATTTCTATATATTAGGAGAATTTGAAAATTCTAAACTTGGAATTATTAATTGATGAAAATGGAATTAATGACTTGGAAGGTGTGATTAGTATATGTGAGTATTGAAGTTGATGGCTATGAATACTTCTCCCACCATCTCCATTTTAACCCTACCTAGTTCCCTGTTATTTCCTGTCTTTCTTTCTCATTCTGACACTTTCAGTAAAGTCTAACAACTTTTCTCTTCTCCAGTGGCCCTGCAAGCACTGAAGCGTAAGAAGCGTTATGAGAAACAGCTGCAACAGATTGATGGCACCCTTAGCACCATCGAGATGCAGCGTGAGGCCTTGGAGTCGGCCAGCACAAACACCACAGTCTTGCAGACCATGAATGAAGCTGCCAAGGCTCTGAGGGCAGCACACCAGGACATGTAAGTATAGGAGAGTTTGTGTGGCTATGAGTTTGACATTGTCATACTGATTTGAAAGTTAACTGTTTTAGCTTATGGTATTATTTACATTGAATAGCAACAGTGATTTTGAATTTATTAATATAAAGATTTAAATACTACTATCATCTTAATTGGCCATAACATTGTAAGTAAAAGTAAGCTAAAGAAGTCTAGAGCATTATCTTATAGTTTGATAAAAGCAGGTCTTGTCTTGGAAAAGATATCACAAAACTTATTTGTTTCCTTTCCAGGGACGTGGACAAGGTTCACGACATGATGGACGACATTGCAGAACAGCAGGAGGTTGCACATGAGATCTCTGAGGCCATCTCCAACCCTGTCGCATTTGGAGATGGTGTGGACGAGGTAGAGTATCTTTAGTTGTTAGGTCATGTTTTTAAGGAAAAGTGATTTCTTCTGTGCCGAGCTTGTAGTTTCTCAATTCTCTAATCTATGTAACCCATACTGTTTTAATGATGTCACATTCCTTGCGTTCACTTGAGCATATCTGCACAGTGCTGTTGACCCTGTCCCAAAACACTCAGGGTGAATGGTTTCGCTGTGCAGTGCACTTATCAGCTGATTAATGTAAGCAAACAGTCCTTCCACGGCAGACACCACTGAGACTTGTTGAGAGAGAGATTACATATTTTCCTGATTAAGAATGTAATCAAGGTTCAAAACTGATATAGAGGATTTCTATAACATTTACTAGTAACTAACAAAGATAGGAAGATAAAATAAAATATGTTGCAGCTCAGACAGATATACTTTTGAGGCTCTTAAGGTACCGGCCATTTTGGTTGTTTAAAAACCGGCCGTGAGGTGAAGCGAGCTATCTCCAACCTTCGCCCTGTTTGCCACACAACGCCTCACGAAACTTTTTGTCAGGTTGACCATTCACTTGACTTTGCCATGCAACAACACTCAGTGCATTTTGCTGAAGTGAACACAGGGATGTGTTGGATGGATGATTTTGAAATCTCTCCTTCCAGGATGACCTTCTGGCTGAGCTAGAGGAACTAGAACAAGAGGCCCTGGACGAGAAACTCCTGGAGACCACAGGAGTCACAGACGAGCTTCCAGAAGTTCCCTCGGCTATCCCAGAGACCGTCCCCAAGAAGAAAGCCAAAGAGGACTATGATGATGATTTGGAAGAACTTGCAGCCTGGGCCTCATAAGCATGGTAAGCTATGTGAGAAAGAGTATTGACTGTAACCAAATTTGCCTATATAGGCCTATAATAAATATTGCATTGTAAGAAAAATAAGAAAAGTCACTGTGTAACTGATGGATAGGCCTATCGCTTTATATTCAGAAGTGAATGATGTCAGTGACTTGAATGACCCTTGATTGCTTTTGACTTGCATATTACATTACGCACTACTATATTTATGAAAAGAGCTACTTCTATTGGCTGTATAGTATATTTAGTGGTAGTGTGTGTCAAGGAACCTGAAATTATTCCATGGAAATTCAGGTTTAGATTATATGAAGTGGTCATTGGAATAACAAAAAAAAAAAAAAAAAAAAAAAAAAAAAAAAAAAAAAATCATATATATATATATATATATATATATATATATATATATATATAGATAGATAGATAGATAGATAGATAGATAGATAGATAGATGACTAGTTTTTATTTTTTTATGCATTTACATTTTTTGCAACTTTTAAAACACAGTATCTGTAATTTGTCATAGTTCCAAAAGATAGAGGTGAAAAAATCTAACCATAAAGTTACAGATCAGAATAATCTATAATCATTCACACATATGAGGAGCACTTAAACTACAGGGAGGATTCTCAAGGTTGGCCGGAGGCAAAAGCACAAGAGCTGTAGGCCTAGATGGTGCCAGTGTGGTGCAACCAAAATAAAAACTAACATTCAGTATCCCTTAAGGCCCTGTCACACTATCACTTTTTCCGTAATTTTTGCATTTCCATCTGAATTTGAGGCTCTCCCTAAATATCGTTTGTAAACGGAACGTCTCCCAGACAAAGACGGTTACTACTGTTTCCATCTGACTAATTTCCATCTTGATCTTGTGTTAATAATAAATTAGTTAGAATGAGTGAATGTAAACTTAAGCTAATATTTTAGAACATTCGTATATGCAATATACATCATCTCATTTCTTTAAAATAATGTAATACGTATGAGAATCTTCGTGTGATTCCCAGGACCTCCGATAGTGCCATGTTTGTTTACATGGGTCAGTCGATTTTCATACAGAAAGTTCATTCGGAAACACAAAAAATTGACGGTAAAGGTGATAGTGTGATAGGGCCTTTACTATTTTCTAGCCTTTTTGCTTTGTCTTTGTATGATAGCATCAAAGGAAAAATTAGGAGACAGTCTGATGGCACTCTTTATGGTTTAGAAGTGTCATGAAATACCATTATAGTAATCTTCTTTCTCCTCCTCCTCCTCTTCCTTCTCCCCACTCAATCCCATGCTCATTGTTGTCTTGAGGGAGGAGGGGGGGAGGAGATGGAGACTGAGGCCCAATGTTGGGATCTCCCTTACCCCTTCCTCTTCTTCCTTTTCTTCTTTTTTCACTTAGAAAAGCGTATGCCCAACATATATTTAAAACATGCTCTAGATGTTTCCTTTTGTGTTTTAGAAAGCTGAAGGACTAAGAAAAAGGAGAAGCCCTATAAGAATCCTTATTGAAATAAGAAAAAGAAGCAGCTGCCAACGGAAGGTGGTTCAGGCACATCTACTGCCCCTTCCTTGTCCCAGTTCTGAGCATATATGTATATCTCTCAATCTCAATGTTAATGCGTAGGGCGCTAAATGAGCGCATAACACGCTTGATTACATTTATTGCTAAAGCGCAAAACATTGTAAAGTTGATTTTTTACATTAGATAGATTTGTAACTTGTATGAAATTTGTGCTCATTGGAGATCCTTTCAAAGGAGATTTTTAAAGGCCACATTTCAAAATCTGTTTTTCAAATACATTTTACTTCTGCCAAACCTAATACGTGCTTAGGTTCTGTAAGACTGAGGGGGTGGGGGTTAGTCCTTTAAATAGACAAAAAGGTTATGCATTTCATATATCTAAGCGGGTTGAAAGAGAAGTTACAAAGCATAGATGTGAAAATGGAAACAATAATGAAATATGTCATATATTTATGACAATTCCCAACCTTCATTGCAGTCTAAGAAATCTTAAAAAAAGAGGGGGGGGGGCATAGTAGGTACTACTAGACTCAAGTTTTGTGTATGTCAAACAAATGATATGACCTCACCATTGTTTTTGGTAAATGATACCTTGACACTATGATGTAATGACAAAGATCATAGAGAAATATATACAAAAAACAATGCATAGATATTTCTACCCATGGAGTTGATGAGTGTTATGAGAGTGTATAGTTGAAAAAAATATCACAGTTTCTCCTTGTGTATGAATGGAAATGGAGATAGATTGCAATGAATATGAAAAACATGTTTATTTTTATCACATAAAACATTAAAAAAATGTTTAGACACACTTTATTACTACCTATTTCTTATTTTATATATTTCATCATATATACTCTAATTATTCTCTTCTATTTTCTCCAGGTTCTCTGTATGGATCCCAGCCCACTTTCGTTGGCCTTCCGGTTATCAAGCCTGGTGCAAGTGGCGGTCTCATTGGGACTTTCTCTTTGTGGCTTACCTTGTGGCACCTGCATTCAAAACAGCCTGTTTCTTCTTCTTTTCTTGTAATTTTTATTATTCATTGATTATGGGTTAATAGATATCTATGTGTACATTCTTCAAATTACAGTGATAATCTTTTGTGAGTGCTTCAGGTAAATGTGCAAACTGCTCAGTTTCTTGTGGGTTTTTAGAGCAATTCAATTCAGTGCTTTTGTATATTGGATTAATTAAGTGGTTAAATTGCTTACTTTTTAAATATAAAGTGAATGATTTGGAGTAATCACATACTTATCATAGGAGCTACATGACATTTTGAATTTTGAATTTTTATTTCATTTCATTTGTCTTTATCCATCATCATATGTCTTTTGTTATATTACTACTTTGACATGCATAGTATGGCTCATCAGATTTTAGTAAGAATAATAGAACATGAAAATGGTGTAACTGTTGTACAAACACTCACTCACTCATCCAGACACACAATACTTAATCAGTCGCTCACTCACTCATTCACACTCTCAACTCACTTATCCACTTAGTTAACTTATTTTCTCTTTATCCTTTGTGTTTATCCTCTTTTTCTCATACAATATATGAAAGGATACAAAGTACTCTTGCTATCAGGGTTCTATGTTGAAATATACACTTCTGTATTTTATTCTGAAAACTATGTCACCTTGTGTTCTCTCTTTCTCACACTCATTACAAATATTTTTTTTCAAGGTCAGTTACTTTGCAATAGTGCTTTTTCCTGTACGTGAATGCCTAAGTTGCTGATGTTAAGCAGAATTGTAAAGACATTTTATAAGGAAACTGACTTTCTTTTTTTTATACGTGCATTATTCTAAGAGAAAGTTTAATTGGCAGATGCATGCCGTATCATAGTCACTGGTACAAAATGGTGAAGCATTGCTCATG